ATTTTGGCTTAGTCTAACCAAATTTTGATTTTTCATTTTTCTCATTTTATTTTGACTAGCCAATTGACGAGTTTAACATAATTTTGACCTATACGCTTATTTTTATTTTAGACACGCTTGAATGTTGCAATTTTGAGGATTGATTTTATTTTCTAATATCCTTCTCATTTTTCATTTTTCTCCCTCAAATTGCATTATACAAAAACAAATGTGTCTAATATTAAACATAATAAAAATCAATTGAAAATAACATTAAACAAGCCAAGTCATAATTCATTCGTACATACATCCCAAAAAGTACGAATAAAGTAACATCATAATCCAATCATGCTATTAATCATTGCTCTTAGCATTAAGAAATTATCTCTGCAGCTTTCATGATAAAACACTTCCTTCACCGTCCTTGTAGGTAGCATGCAAGAGCTCTTCGTAGATCACCAGTGGGAAACACACTCTAGTGTACCAAATTGCACACTCCTTCAAGCTACGCCCTTCTATGAATGTGGTGTTTTCCGGTACAAGGTATTTGAGCATCACAACCACCTTGTCTTCTTCTACACATGGGTTTACATGTAGAGTCAATAACAAACCTAAAGGTTGGTGTCATCTCTTCCCCCTACATCACTGCCCCCCTATTGGAATTGCCTCCAAACTGCCCAAAATGAGAGGGTGGTGGTAGTCTATTTTCCCCCTTTTTTGGCAGCTTCAAAAAGAGCCTAAAAATATTCTTGTCAGCCCTTTGTTATATCAGTATCTCTTGAAGTAGGGAGGAGTCATCCTCTCTTTGGGTTTTCATTTCACGCACATCATCAAGAATCTCCCACATGGCTTCAACCATTGAGTTGTTGGTGGCTTGAAGAATAGCTATTTCTTCCCTTAGACTCCTCTCCTCATTGTAGTGATTTTGATCCCATCTGTTCACCATGTTCCTCAACCTCTCAATTTGTCCCATCACATGCTTGATCATTTTCTCATAAGCTCTATATTGACCCGTAGTTGAGTTACGGTTTGCTTGCAAGGCATTTTCAATTGTGCATTTAGAGGGCGAAAAAATCTTTGCTGCCTGGTGGTTTAGGACATTGGTTCCAGAAATAACCTGGCTCTCCGCAATTGAAACATACCCTTGGTCCTTCACGACCTCCTCCACAACCTCTTCCAAAACTACCATGTCCTCGATAGCGACCACCTCCACCTCCTCGACTATTATACCCTTTGTTGGTATACTTACCTTGCGATACAAATACACTTCCTTCACCATTATTTCCTTGTGATACAAAAACACTCTTTTTAGGAAATTCATTATTATTAGTACTTACTGTCGCGATCTGTATCTGAAAGAACACTTGGTCCAACGACCCTAACTCCTTTCCCAACAATTGTGACCTAAGAACTTCATATTGCATGTCATATCGTAGTTGTGCATCATTTAGTTACAAGTTTAGGTTACAAAAAGTACTTCACCGTACTCCAAGCATTTTGATCATCTTTTAAGAGAAGATTGAAGCCTTAAAAGTTAAAGTTTACGGTTCATCTTGAGTTCTATTGCTAGGATGAAGACTTCTTGTCCTTCAAAGGTGCGTTCCTCTGCCCCACCACTTGCGTGACACTAGAGAATACTGTACTCCATTCATGCCGAATGCATTCTGGAACCATGCCATGACAACAACTACACGGTGTCCAAGCATCTCCTGGAGCATTTGTCTGAACCCAGCTAACAAATGATTATAAGACACAAAAGAGGAAATAGAGTGTTGAGAACGACATTTACCTTTATGAAGGGCAATGGGAAGATCCAGATCATTTGACAAAGACTTTGGTAAGGAGGAAGTACTCACTTGTGGTACTGGTGGCGCAACCTCATCTCTCGGTTACCGAACATAAACCTTTGTAACAGGTGGCCTAGAAATAGACCCGACCGGTATGGTAATAGTATATGTAAGGAAGTCACCATTTGGAGTAGAGCCACACCCAAATGACCAAATAACACCCCCAAAGAAAACCATGTTTTCAAAGAAAGTAACATCAACTGACACTAAATACCGCCCCGAGTCAGGTGAATACCACCGATAACCGTTTTGAGTATGTGAGTACCCAAAGAATATACGCTTAAGTGATTTTGGATCAAGTTTCTCGCGTTGAATACGAACATCTTGGACAAAACAAGTACACCCAAATAGTTTCGGAGGGAGATGGAAAAGGATTCCGATGGATACACGAAAGAATAAGGAATTTGAGCTTAAAGGACAAACGAAGGCATCCTATTGATAAGAAAACATGCATTGCGAACAACATCAGACCAAAAAACCTTAGACACTTTCATTTGAAACAAAATAGCCTGAGCTGCCTCTAACAAAAGACGATTTTTTCTTTCTGCCACTCTATTCTACTAAGGGGTATACCCACACAAGGACTGATGAAGTATCACATTTTGGCTCATATAAGTGGAAAAAGGTTTAGAGAAATACTCTTGTGCATTGTCACTCCACACACACTTAATAGCTTTATTAAACTTCTTTGTATCTCAACACAAAAATTATAAATGATAGTAAACAACTCATCTCTAAATTTCATAAGATATAACCACATACACCAATAGAAATTGTCCACAAATGTTATGAAATATCTAAACATGTTCTTCCCTGTGACACAACAAGGACCCCATACATCAGAATGAACAAGTTCAAATATAGACCTTACCTTGTTATTGACACGGGGAGGGTAGGAAACCCGACGATGCTTAGTAAACTCACAAGACTCACACTGCAAAGCAAACAACGACTCTAAACTAGGAAAGAGCTTCTTTTGGGTTGACAATGGTGGATGATCATACCGACAGTGTAACTGGAAAGGAAAGATATCACTCAACATAGCCTTGGACGGAGATATAGACTGCTCTAACGTGTACAGACCTCTGAGTTCTTTCCCCTTACCAATAATCTTCCTCGTCAAAAGATCCTAAAATAGACAATAACCCGAGAAAAAAAGAGACAACAATTCAAAGTCCGTGTGATTTGACTAATAGAGAGCAAATTAAAGGAAACTTTGGAAGGTATAATGTAGATGATAGGGGTAATGATGAGGTTGCAACAACACTACCCCTACCCAAAACCGAAACAATCAACCCATTTACTAGGGTAATTGTAACCCCGGGGTTGGAGGGAGAATATGTGGAGAAAACATTAGAATTACTTGCCATATTGTCACTAGCCCATGAGTTAATGACCCACTGTGTAGACGAAGAAGACACACATGCAACAGGATTACTTGTTTGGACAAAGGTTGTAGGAGAAGATAGTTGATTGGACAGAAACTGGACCGAGACTGCACGGTAGAGGATACCTTCAGTTGATTGAACGCTACTAACTCTTCATCTGTCATAACAACCATATGTCCGTCAGACCTAGAAGTTGTGTTAGCAAATCTTTGTTGCCTGGGTGGTTTAAGACATTGGTTCCAGAAATGACCTGGTTCTCCGCAGTTGAAACATATCCTTGGTCATACACGACCTCTTCCAAAACCACCACGTCCTCGATAGGGACCAACTCCACCTCCTCGATTATTATACCCTTCGTTGGTATAATTTCCTTGCAATACAAATGCACTTTCTTCACCATTGTTTTCCTGCGATACAAAAACAATCTTTTGAGAAGTTCATTATTGTCAGTACTTATTACCGCATTCTGTATATGAGAGAACACTTGGTCCAACGACCCTAACTCCTTGTTTCCCAGCAATTGTGACCTAAGAATCCCATATTCTTTGTCAAGCCTGAAAATCTAGCTAAAGACAATTAATTGATCACGTTGTGCTTTCGTTTTCTGCACATCAATTGTAATAGGCATTGCAGTACATAAAGCTTCACTTAAACTTTTGAAATCATAATAGTAGTCTCGATGATCTCAGCCTTTCTGATTAGGTCAATAGACATCTTGAGACAACTGGTACAATTTTCTCAAATTACTTGACCCACTAAACCATTTAGACACTAACTCCCATACATCTTTCACCGTAGTACAATGTTGCATTGATAAGATTACTTTCCTACAATCCTACCAATACAATTAATTACCCGTGATAACAGAGCTTTATCGTCTCCTTCCCATTCATTTTTAGTTGTTTATATGAAGGACAATCTTGATCTTAATGATCGTCTTTACCCATTTCATCTAAATTAATTTTAATCAAGAATTTTCATTCAGCAAAATTATACCCATCAGCCAATATCACATCAATTAATTTGGACAGCGTAGATACAACAGTAATATTCCAATTACTTCCCTCTGTCATTTTCAACCAAGGAAGAAAAACAAACACACTCTCACAAGTTCTCAAGCGCAAAACATCAACAACCAAAACTCCACAAAACATACCTTGGCGAAACCTACTCAAGGAGGCGAGTTGACCACTGTGAATTTCGGCCGAGATGTCGCCGGAAACTACCACACGCGCCGACGCGTGGCGTCAAAGCAACGATGAAGTGATAGCGCGTGGTGGTTTCGATGGCGACCCAATTCCTGCTACAACTTCACTGCTATTCCGAGCACGACCCACTATCTCACTCTCGCTAACTCTGATACCATATTAATATTTGAGGGAAAACACACACTATGTATATCTGATTTTTTTTTTTGAAAACATGTATATCATTAAGTCTAAGATTGTACAATATATATAGGTACAAGAAAAGTTTGATGGACTAACCCAATAAAATTTCTAACAAAACTTAAGACTAACCCCAAATTATCATAACAATGTTGAAGTTTAATCATTTTGAATATAATTTTAAATATCTCAATTCTCAAATAAACTATTATAATATTTACAAAATTATCAACATAACTTTCTACTTTCAAGCCGTTAATCATTTTAGATCCGCAACCATCATTAGGCCAAAAGCATTTTCTCACTGAGATATTTACTTACAAAACATGCCAGCGGCGGTAATATCGACATTCAACATTCACTTCAAACCATCACGCTCAAATTAGCAACAAAACTTCGACCATAACAAAGTGCTAAATATCATTAAAAGTTACAGAAAAATAGCAATCAAATGTCCTATTGTTATAACATGTGCATTCAGACTCGTCCTACGCAAACAACAAAGCCATAACATGCTAAGACACTACTGTGAAAGGACACTGAATAGAGTAACTAGTGGTACAGGTATTTTAAGACACGCAGGTCATATCGTAGCTGTGCATCATTTAGTTACAAGTTTAAGTTACAAAAAGTACTTCACCATAGTCCAAGCATTTTGATCATCTTTAAAGAGAAGATTGAAGCCTTAAAAGTTAAGTTCACGGTTCATCGTGAGTTCCATTGCTAGGATCACGACTTCTTGTCCTTCAAAGGTGCGTTCTTCTGCCCCACCACTTGCGTGACACTAGAGAATACTGTACTCCATTCATTCCGAATGCATTCTGGAACCATGCCATGACAACTATACGGCGTCCAAGCGTCGCCTGGAGCATTTGTCTGAACCCAGCTTACGCTCTGCGGTGGGTTCTCAAAATCAAAATAGAAAGGAGGGGCCTTCTTAGGCATTGGACTGCTCTTCTTTTGTTTCTGGCTCCCCCCAGGGCTGTCGGATGGCTGGGAAAGGAATGACAAAAACCATAAAGTGGTATCAGAATAGACTTTTGCCAACTTAGAGGAAATGATTAGAAAAAAAAATTCAGGAGAACAGCTATGGAAAGAATTCTTCATGTAACATCAGCATCGGAGTTCAACTTCTTACCTTTCGTTTGGTTCCTGTTTCTAAATAGTGAAGCACTTCTTTGCTTGACCGGAACTTCTTGCCTGAAACTGGGTCAATATAATACTGCAGAAACAAAAACAATCGTAATTGGGATTAAGAGTTAAAATGCAAGTAATTCAGCCTTCTTCAAACATCAAGGCATAAATGCATTCTTTTTTCCTATTAAACAAGTTTAAAGTCAGCCATTAATCTTTAAAATGTGCACAATTACTTTAGAGAGAAAATGTTATTGTCCCAAGGGAAGCTGCTACCTAAGTACCTATAAATGCTTTTAGAGAATGGATGTCTGGAAATACTTTTACCTACCACTCATAATTGAGGTTGTCTATTGCACTATAAAGACATTCAGCTATTTCACCCATTAGAGATGCACAATTGAGATACAGTGATGGCAAAACATTAGGTAAAACCATAAAAAGCAGCAGCTGATAAATCTATTTCAAGTTTGAAGGACTCTAACATTGTTCAAGTTTGAATGTTTGTGAAAACATGGAACAAAATTGGACCAGAACTCCCATATGGACATTTCAATTTGACCTTATCTATTTATCTTTTCAACTTGTCCACTAATTTAATTTGTTCCTTAAACTAGTACCATAATAGACTGACACCAATGACCAACCTACTTATATATCCACAACCTAACATCTCTCACTTCCCTAACTTCAGTAACTTGCATCCTACATTCACTGATCAGAAAGCTTTAACTTTCTCAAGAAAAAAAGTTTCCACAAGTTCAAATAGGGATTAAGGAGTGTTCACAAATTTTTTGAACCAATATTAATACAATAAAGATAGGGTTTAGATGGTTTACAGATTTTTTTGGTGTAGTTTAAGGCTAAGCAGCTGCAACATGTTCAAATTGTCAAATGAAGCTAAGAATTGGTAGTTTCTTTATCCAACCTTAGATCCTATATCATCTAGACTAACAAAAATATACAGTAATTTCTTGCTACCCCATTTTCAGAACTTCAATGCATATTGCCATATTCAATTCAACTTCTCATGCTCTTACATTCAATGCACTTGTTATCACATTAAATTCCACATTCAATAACTTTCTGCATGTTCAAGAACACCCTATGCCTCACATAGTCACATGACCATTATGTGATTGTGAATCTTACAACCAGCTTCAACCAAGTGCTACTTTCTTTACTAACTAACATGGTTCATTACATACAAATATATAGACAGATAATTGGGAGAGGTTGAATTGTAAAGATATTAAATATCACAGTAAGGGGACAAATAATTAGCTTTAACTTTTTTAACTCAGAAAATTTCCAGTTAGCAGTTTTTCAAAACAATCTAGTTACAAATCAAATTCATAAATTGGTCAAATATTTCTTTTTGTACAATTTTTCCTTGTTCTGCTACTAGCAAGGACTTGTATTGGAACCCTTTACCTGATTTAGATTTGAATTCACAGATAAGTGAGATGGCATTATTACTGTGAAGTCTTTAATCTCCCCTACCAAAAAGTTCAACACATTTTTTTTGCCAATAATACATTTCAATATACTCTAAATTTAGTAGGAATAATCTAGTATAAACATAATTAAGCACATGGGATATCACTGAATCCTAGGTGGTGGTCGTGGGAGGGGGGTGGGGGGGGGGGGGGGGGGCATTAAATCATGCCATACAAATGACTCAGCCAACCACACTACCATGATAATTTATCAGAACTCCTAGAAAAGAAGCTCTTAAAACTTTGGAAATCTGCCATTCAAGTCCTTGTACTTCAACTTTCAAATGTTTTGGCAAATTTTCCAAGAGGCAAGGAATCATTTGCTGAAGTGTCCACGAAGATGTCCTAAATGGATACAGTTTTCAATTCAAGAATAACTTATCTCAAGATCCTTCAAAAAATAGCCGAGAGATCACAATTATTCAAGTCTTAAATTCTAAATGGAAATGTTTAACCAAACACTACATAACTGGTGTGTATGTGTGTGTTTGGTGAGTCAGAATTTCGCCAAGAGGTATCAGATGGTAGCAGCAATATAAAGCACTGTACAACCCAATGCCAAAAAATCTACCAAAGAAAGAGCACTAAAAGAGTCCAAAATAAGAGTGGAAGAACTAATAGATCTTTGAATTGTCTCAAAGAAAATTGATGTCCTTAGAACCATTGCATTTTTTTTTTCATTCCAAATTAAACAGAGAGGAGTGAAACCATATCACTGGTGTACTAGAGCTAGATTATCTTCAACTTATATGTAGACTGCTGACTTTCAGCTCCAAGAGGTTTTATTACAGCATGCAATGAAAGTAACACGCTATCAGTAGTACAAAGAAAATTATTTTCCATATTGTGCTCGCTTAAGAAAGCCTTTTGATTTGTGCCATTAGAGCATCCTTATCCGTGGGGAGAATTAGTGGGAAGAATGTAAGAGTGATTAGGAAAGAGAAGGTGGGAGGGGAGAGAAAAAAAATAAAAAAACAAACAAAACTGAATTAAAAAATAAATAAATAAAAAATTAACTCCTTCCCACATCACTTTGCTCCTTGTTTTGGAAGAGTTCATTCTGAAATAGCTTGGAAAAAGACTCTATAGTGGATGCTCTTAGACCAAGACTAAGTATCCTTCGTAATTGAGCTTTTCATAGCCACTAAATGCAACCCAATAGAAAGCTTATTAAAAATGGAATGTAATGTTGGGAAAATAAGGTTGATAATGTGAAAATAAAGGAATGTTGTGCCGTGGAAAAACCATTCCCATAGGAGTGAATTCGCCGCGTGCAGGTTCACAACAATGGAGTCACCCCCCAAGGTTAACACAACAATCCATGTCTCCATGCACTCGAAGCAGGGATTGGAACTTACACGAGTGAAAAAAAAAAAAAAAAAAAAAAAAAAAGGATCAAACAAATTTTTAGGTTTGTTGTCTAAACTCAAGAGCAACCCTATTTAAATAGTAGAGGTCAAACAATTATGGTGACATACTATCTAAAAAGTCTTGGGTCACTCATCATCTTGCGACAATGAAGACTCTAAGAAGCGTAAAGGTTTGACACTTAAGTGCCAGTGATCAAATCTTGAACTAGCACGTAGTGACACATGGTATCCCGTATCCTCTAGTCGCCTTTGCATTTGTGGGGGATTGTTGGAAAAATGCAAAGTCAATGGGGTTTTTGTGGTTCTCAATCTTGATTATTTAGTCTTGGTATAATCTTCACCACAAGATGATGAATGACCAAGACCTTTTAGATAGTATTTGGCCATAATTGTTTGGCATCTACTATTTAAAGATTGTTCTTGAGTTAAGATAGACAGACAAAATAATTGTTTGATCTCTTTCTTGTCCCTTCTTCACTCGGAGAATGTCGTGTGAGTTCTAGTCCAAAGTAGGGTGCACGGAGACGAGACGAGGATGGTTGTGTTAACCTTGGGGGGACGCTGTTGTGAACCTGCATCGGTAGCGGATAATCCACTTCTATGGCAATGGTTATTCCGCAGCATAACATTCTTTTATTTTCACACTATCAACCTTATTTCCCCAACATGTAATACATGGCACAATTTCATTCTTTTAAGATTATATATATGATGGCTTCCCAATGCTCACTGAAGGGGATTATGAAATACTTGGATAATGCATTATGGTTAAAGTAATTACTCAATTAACAAGTTATCTTGAAGTTGCTGATTCTATTGGCATAAGCCAGCAGACTTCCTAAAACTAGTTCTTGGAAGTTGGAAGTACTACAAAAAATTCAAAGATTAGAAGTTTTCCCAACATGTAAGATCAACACTACTCCAATGGTGGACAACAACAAGAATCACAACTAAAAGAATGAAATTAAAATTGAAATAGGCTGTTTTCAAGACAGATTAATAAGGCTACACTTCAACGGCAATCTTATCTCCAGCAACAAAATGTATGCCACATTGTCAAACACTGTGTTTTAGATACCCAATAGTTCACAGATGTGCTTTAAAAAGCCATAGCTGATAAATTTCCTTTCCTTTATGACTTGGATTCCATCTAAATGAACTTAATCAGTTGTCAAATGGCATTCTGTCATAACCTTATGTTACATGTTTAATAACATTAAAGATTCTGCAGAAATGCTGGCATCCTACTAGGAGTAATAGACTGAACAACACTAAAGTTAAGTCATTAACAGACAATTTCTATCCAATAAGCCAGGAAAATGTAAAAAATTAATGTGATGCCTTATAGCCTCAAGGTATTAAGCAATACTAATATCATAAAGGTCTCAACTTTTCCAGATAATGAGTTCATCTTTAGTAGTTGTAGAAGCTCTTCCATTTTACAGAAATGCTGCCAAAATTGCATGTTATGCAGCTCGAATTGAGTTTCAAACAATGAAAGGCAGAAAGAGGGGAATGAATCGCCTAAGTCAATGGAAGAGTCCGCTATCACAAATACATACATAATATGACCTAAGGAACAAATTTAACTATGCATACAGTGCTTAGGAATGCATTATCTGCTTCAGTGCTTCAGTATAATAGTGCAAGTGATGAGAGATAGCGGACGGAAATTACCCTATCAATCGATCCAGCAGTGGCTCCAGAGTTCCGAACTCTCAATTCCATCTTCCAGTTCTCCGGCAACCAGGCCGGACGCTCGGCCGCGTCCTCCGGGAGCATCTTCCTCCTCGCTCGCCGCTGCGAGGAGTCGGCCGCCTGATCTGTCACAGTGTCCTCCGACATCTCCGGTGGGTCAACGACAACGCGGGACCGGAGCGGCGTGGCCTCCATGTCAACTTCGATGTAGGCGTCTGATCGTAGCAGCGGGTCCGGTGGCATAAGATCGTCGCCGTCGGGGTGTTGGCCGTTTTGCGGTCGGGTCGGGTACGGGTACGGCTGCGGCTGAGGCTGAGGCTCTTGGGTGTCCAGGTTTGGGTCCATCAACGCCCAGAGAAGCGAGGGAGAAGTGAGTAGTAATAGTCCGTGCGTACATTTGAACGATGACTACGTATTTTTCTTTCTGGAGTTACGGAAACGTATCCAACATCCAAAGAGTTACTACTTACTCCTATTTAATTATATTTAGAGCAAATTACATTTTTGGTCCTATACCTATATAGGGCGTGTTAATTTAGATGTGTGACTTTTAAAACTAATAATTTAGTCTTTTTAATTATGTCTTTTTTTAGCAGATTTAGTTTTACCGGTCAAATTGTTAATGAAAATTAGCCAAAAATATGTTTGTCATTTTAAATTATTTAATAATGGGGACAAATTGGTCATTTCAGGTCCCTTTCTTATCCTTCCTTCACCTGCCAGAGCTCGACCAAGAAGCGAGCCCATTGAATGACTGAAGCACATCATCGGCGTCAGAAACGAACTCCGACGTCGGAGATTGGAGCAGATCGTCAAACTCGGCCAAAGGAGACCAACCATCTCTACAAGAATCCAAGTACTCATCCCCTTCGCCGCCGCCACATATATATGTATCTATTTGATTAGTTTTCTGTTTTCCCCAAAAAACTCTGGCCAGCAGGTGAAGGATGGAAAAGAAGGGGACCTGAAATGACTAATTTGCCCCATTATTAAATAATTTAAAATGGCAAACATATTTTCGCCCAATTTCCACTGGTGATTTGGTCGGGATGACCAAATCTGCTAAAAAACATAGTTAAAGGACTAAATGGTTAGTTTTAAAAGTCACCGAAATTAACACGCCCCCTATAGTCATAGGACCAAAAATGTAATTTGCTCTTATATTTATCTAATATTCTTTTTAAAAATCATTTTTATATATTTAAAAAGTATATTAAGTACAATACTTGAACATTCTATCATTACCATAATAATCAACTAGTTTTTTTTTTACGCGTTTTGCGCGAATGAGATAATGCCTAATGATTATTTTTAAATAATAATTTCAAAGTATATCAATGCAATATTATATAGAAGATGTTCATGCATAGGTAAATAAATGTTCAATTTGTTTATTTAAATCGGCAATTTAAAGTATATAAATACAAGATAATATATGAGACATTGATTATAATTGTCACTAAAATAAATGTTTGCAACTTTGTAATAATGCTAGTCTAAATACTTAGTATAAAAATGATAGTCTAAATAAATACTACTTTTGGTTTAAATTTTTCTAATTCTTCTTAATTTTCTTTTGGGTAGTATTGTCATTGTCTTCATCTTCCGTACATGCCTTCTTCTTCTTTTTTTTTTTTTTTTTTTTTGGGAAAGAGGGGGGAACACCCGTGGGTCGTTAGGCGACCCTCACAATATTTCTCTCGCCAAGAAGGCCAAGCTCGTCTTCCCAGAGGAATCTCTGACATTGAGTATTAATATTTGACATATATTTTTGTTCATCGTGCATATAGGTTATTGATGTGGTAAATACCGTATAAAGTATAAAGTCGAACCGGGTTCCGATCCTAAAGTGGTCTGTTTGTAGGTTTAGGATAATGAGTTTGGGTTTCAGCATGTGGCCGGAGGTTCCCGAGCTGAACATGGCAGTATTGAATTTGCCAAAAAACATCCTCTCATGTTGCTTCGCGGGGTATTTATAAGGGATTCAGGGAACACGTGCCGAGGGATCGGCATGCGTGTCACACGTCCTCCATACACTCGGCGTGGTCGACTAAGGGGGGAGCACACACGTGTAGGAGTATGTTTGGTTAGCTATTTCACTTGATGGCTTTGGTTTAGGTGTTAAGTACCCACGCTCGGGGTCTTGGTCGGGCATGTAGGTGGGGACCGGTCTCTGAAGGTTGCAGAAGGTGACTTATTAAACCATAGATTCGATGATCCTTCTGGTCGGGTCGGACAAGTGCCATTTTCCGGTCGGATCAGGTCGGGGAATGACCCAGGTTTTGAGGTGACTCGTACCAGATCAGGCTTTGGGTATGAGGGGCTTGAACTATAAATTCCAATCGTATTCTAAGGTTAAGTTACTATAACCAGGGCGGGATCTGGTGCGACGATCATGTAACATCCTACTTTTCTAAAATCTAAATCCCAAATACTTTAACTTAAACAAGATAGATAAGTAAGATTAATTAACTTAAAACCAACCAATCAAACATAAACGGGTGTCACCGCCACAACCACCACTCACGGTGACTACACAGGCTACAAAAGGATAGCTAACTAGAGTCAAGCTCATCAAAAACAACTCTAATTAACTACTTGTGGAACAAACCCCGGTGTCCAAGCACCAATAAAAGGATCAGTCAACAACATCTAAACATCAAATATCCAAAGTAGGATCTAATCTAGAATCTACCATCACATAACTACGCATTAATCTAACTCCTGTGCTCTCAGACACTAGGCCCACCTGAAAGGGATTATAAAAACAAGTAGGAAAATAAACTCGTTAGCAAATTAATGCTAATTATAAAGCCACTAAACCCTGTAAAGTACTATAGATATAGATTTGGAAAACATTTGACAATCACACGTAATGTAACACCCCGTGTTCCCTAAATATTTATATTAGATATAAATATTTACCAAATAGAACTATTTACTTATAATTAAATATTTTGCTAAAAATATATATGTACCCAAATATGTTACTACGGGCTTTGGTTAGTTATGAACAGATACTACATTGTAATAGAGTCAATAGCATTCAAAAAAAAAAAGAAGACATTAGAACCCTATCACCCATATCTCCCTCTCCCCACACGAAATCCCCTCCCAAGAATATAGTCAAAGAATTCTCCATCACCGGGCTTAGGGAGGATCGATTGAAGAAAGATATTAGGAAGTGGTGTGAAGTTTAATTAAGCTAAAAAGGTAACACATGTCTTACAAAACCTATTTTCCTTGCTATCTTTTATTTATTGGCTCCTTTGATAATCGTATGAATGAATTTGTGATTATGCCTTGATAGAGCTTGTCTTTAGGATTATGATGTGTATTCTTGTTATTCTTGATGATCTTGTATGGTGGTTTGCATGTTCTAGTATTTAATTACGTTTAGAGCTTGTCTTTAGGGTTTTATATTTTGGATTCTCGATGTTCTTGAGGTTCTTGATGCTCTTGAACGATGATGTGTTTGGCCTTGAGTCTTGGCATGTTTAGGGCTTGTGTCTAGGGTGTAATTGTGTTGTTTCTTGACTTATTCTTGGTGATCAAGTCCTTGTTGTTATTGATGTGTGTTGGGATGTGTTTGGACTTGATTTTGGGTAAGTTTGATGAATTCCCGGGTTGGGAAACTAAGCCAAGAACTTTCGTACCAGCGGGTAGTTGGTGGGGGGATGAACCCCCACCTGACCACCCGCCAGTACAGGCCACCGTACCAGCGGGTGGACGACCACCCGCCGGTGTACCCGCTAGTACAAGGCCTTCTGCCGCGCGGGAACGGGGTGGCCCGGCGGATCGTTTTCCCCCATTTGTTGTTTCCCCGTGTCCCGTTGTGCCCCGTGATACCCCGTTCGATGTTTACGAGTCTCGTATGATATTTTGAGTACCGTTCTAGGAATTTATGTGTAGAGTGTACCGTTGCTATCATACCTTGATTGTTATTGTTGATTATATGTTGTTTGATTGAATGATGATGGGTATTGTGATCATTGCGCAATGATAATGAGATTGTGATTGGTGGGAATGAATTGTTGGCGGATAGCACAACGAGTTCTCGGTTATCGTGCTAAAGGCACGGACCACCCCTTAGACTTGCTGGCTAAAGGCTTGGGTCAGGGTATAAGCGTCGTGGTGTCATGTCAGAGCTATATGCGCTACCCCTTGGTAGTGGTGATAGAGGCACGGATCATGCGAATGGCACTTCGGTGCTACCATGTTGGTGGACTTGTTGGTGGTATGTCGGTGGGGGCATGTAGTTGCTCGGAGGGATAAGGGAGGCGATATAAGGGTGGCCTGGAGGTACAGGTTGGAACTGATATAAGGATGGAGAGGAGTAAAGGTTGGAACTTGGTATAAGGTTGGAAGATGGATTGTGTGCTTTGATGATTACTTGCTAATTGATTGTCATTGGATCCCATTGTTTCCTTTAATTGGTATTATGAGTTTACTTGTCTATTATGCCTTGCAAACGTAGGATGCATGCTAGTATCTCTATAATATTCAAAATGTTGCCTTATTGATAGTGTCTCGAGTTTTGATCCTGGTTTTAAAGCTAGAGTTTGTCTAGGATTATATATGTATTCCAGTCTCAAAATGATTTTCTTATATCTACCTATATTGTACTTAACACGTGGGAGTGGGTTACCAGCATTATTCGCTGACGGTTGTTACACCGTATGTTTTTCAGGTGTAGAGCAGTAGCTCCAGAGTGCGCTAGAGGGTTACGAGGACCTAGCTTAGATAGTTTAGTATTAGTTTGATGGCCTGTGAGCCTTGGTTTGTATTATGAATACTAATTACAGTTTATGCATGTTCAGTTAGTTTAGCCTGTGCATCTAGGTTCTCAAACCTAGACGTGACATAACACCCTGATACTTATGTTATTAGTTCTGCTTTGTTTGGATGGATAATGATAGATTTGCCTTTATTTCATAGGCTTTAAATGTTTTAAAAATTAGGGGTGTTACAGCAGTGCTTTTGGAGTGTGGTGCTGCGGTACCCTTGGTGTTATGGGCTGCAGTACTTTTGGAGTGTGGTGCTGCGGTACCTTTGGTGTTATGGGCTGCAGTACCTTTGGAGTGTGGTGCTGCAGTACCTTGGGTATTATGGGCTGCAGCACTTTTGGAGTGTGGTGCTGTAGTACCTATTGGCATGTGGTGGGCTGTACTACTGTAGTACTTTTGGAGTGTGGTGCTACAGTTCATTTGATACATTATGGGTTGCAGCACTTTTGGAGTGTAATGCTGCAGTACCTTTGTAGTGATATTGTGCCTTGATTTGGCGGAACAGATTGCGAATGGAGTTTGAGTCTTATTATTGTCTTGTCTTGAGGTCTTAGGATGCATGCTAGTACCTTTATGTGT